TAATATTTTAATATTTTTTATTAAAAATTTTTTAGATAATTTTGAGATGATTTTTTCCAATTTATACATGTATAAATTATGAATTTTTAATTGAACAATTTGAAAGATATTGGAAAAAATTATCTCAAAATTATCTAAAAAACTTTTAATTAGATATTGCTATGAAAATCGTTGAGTAACTTAAACTTTGCTTGCAAATTTTTATTGGTATAAAAAATATAATTAAAAGATCATGAAAAAATATATTGTTAATTATTAAAATTATATATGCTGGCATTATGGTAAATAGTTATGAAAATAAATTATTCTACAACAAAGGTTCTTTCTCCTTTTTTTCAGCAATCTCTCATATTCGCAACGACAAGTAGCGATGATTTCCGAGATGGTCCATAGTGCTTCTTTATTGCACGATGATGTCATTGATCAATCAGACTTCCGTCGTGGCAAGCCATCGGTTAATATCGTCTGGAGTCAAAAGAAGGTAAGTGCATCCTATTTTTCTGTTCGTAAACATGATCGACATAGTTCTTTACACGGTACATTAATCAATTCTCGAAATTGATGCTTTTTTTCTTATTTTGTTAATACAAAAGATTAATAATACAAAATAAAAAATATATTTAGGAATATAAATATATATATCAAAAGTATATAAAATTATTTCATATTGAAAAAACATCGAAAGTTTTCATTGCACATTGGTCAGTAATGTGACGACAATGGAAATTCAAACTCTCTCTCTAAAATAGCGAAGGAAGAAAGAGGCTAATGCGATTCATGACCAAACATTGGGCTTTCTAGATTGGGAACCGGAAGCGGATCTTGAGTCTGGCGTGAATTTTTGTTGTGAATGTGGAAAATTTGTTAGTGCCAAGACACGATAGGAAAATTGTTCGAGTATTATTTATATAGAGTATTAATTAAAACTATTTCGAAAGTGACCGCTGTTTACAAGTCAATCTGGCTCATTGAAGTTACATGTATTAGAAATCGACAGTTGGAACACGACAGTGGGCGACACGTAACGCGATCGAAAAATTCAACTCTCAAATGCACAAGATTAACGTACGACTTTCGCAATCGCTCGAATTTCATTTGCGTGCTTTTCCATACTAACTGCGAGACATTTTCTAGCGTTTATTAATTAGCTTTCGATCGGCGTCGCGAATGATTGAGCTGCATTTACTATCAACATTCATTACACAAGTGCGTATGTGCACTGGTAAGTGAAATGAAAGTGCGAACAGTGGCTAGGTCAAGAACGTGCGAAGCTATTGACTAGCCATCATTACTTTCTTCCTCCCTCTTTTCTCTGATGTACAAAGTGTCTTAAAAGTTCTTTTTGTAAAACTATAATTTCTTTGAAGAATATATAATGCGGTATTTTTGTAAAAGATTGATCTCTATTTAGTGAAAAAAATTTGTTAATAATTACTTTTATATAATTATGCTTTTCTGTTTGTTTATTCAGAATAAGCCGTTATACAATTCACAAATTTTAAAATTTCTGATACTCTAAAGATATCAATCATTCCACAGAACACGTAATTATAAAAGAAGGAAATTATATATTTATGTATATACATATATATATATATATAATTATTATTATATATGTTTTATATAATTAATTTTATTATCTAAATTAAATTAAATTAAATTAATTATTTAAGAAAAAATGAAAAAATAATTATTATTTGAATTTCAATGTTTTTCTAAATATTTTCGTAAAGTATTTGTGAATACTCCTATAAGACCTGGTTCCACCAATAAGATTAATTTTTATCTCGGTATAACTTATACTATTTATTTTTTTATAATTTTAAGAATTAGGGTTTTAATGAATAATAATTTAAAAAGATAACACAAAAGAAATAAAAGTTTATACTGCTCAGTTCCCACTTGAACTTTTGATTCATTTCGATTAATTTTAGAAAAAAATCAGTTTAAATTAATTAAATAGTTAATTTTTCAAGAAAATCAGTTTAAATTTTTATTAAATCTTAAAATATATATAAATATTCTCGGAATATAATTTATTTGTTAAACTTTAAGTTTATTAATGCAACATTATTGTGTCATATAGCATTATGTAAAAGAGCATAATTGCGGTACATTTTGTAAAACAGTGTTGTACAAAAAGTATTGAAGTTGCATCTTTCTGCTTGTTTACGTCGATCTTGCAACACTAGAATTTTGTAATGAAACTTGTCGCTTTAATGTCTCTAACTCGTCGGGAATTGTAGATACATGTCGCACGATAAATGTGAATCGCAGTTCTAAGCCGCCGTTGTGAAATACAGCGACAGTTTACAACTGCGAACATTCGCGACCGAGCGACTAGAGACCAAACTGCATTTCTAGAAGTTCTCAGGCACTTCTCAGATTTCGTATAGAATGTAAGTGCGTAATCGTGAGACGCGAGAAAATAAAAGATCTGTTTACGAACCTGTAAAAATATCAAGGACTTACAAAAATAGTGTCCTTGTAATTTCTTGCAATTTGTCAGCAATTGTTAGGGCAATTTGTATGATAGATTCTGATGAATAGCATGCGCAAACATTACAAGGAAGCTTCAAAAGTGTTACAACCTTGACGTATGATGGAATTAGCACCATTCAGAGAAATGGAAAGCCCAACGGTGGTCACGAAAGTTCTGACGTTATTTCTTCGGTGCATCGGTTGCGAGGACAGTACAGATGTTGAATCGGTGAATTGTGTAACAGGCTCTTGCATTAACATACTGCTAATCGGAAGAACTCTTGCTGTAGTATATATAATAATTATGTTCGAGTTACACCTACCAGTAACATTGTTATGTGATAAAGTGGTTCGAATGTAAACTATTGAGTCAGGTGCGAAATTCATAAATAATGATTGTAAGTCAGACTGATATTATCCGAGAGAAATATCTGGGAAAGAAAAAATATGACAGACAGGATCTTTTTTTCCTGGCATTTCTGATGTTGATTATTAAGAGTAATATATTAGATATAATAATAAATTATAAGTGTAATATTAGATATGTTAATATAATATAAACTGGGAAAGTATTTTATTCTTTTTCTTAGATATTTGATATGATTTACAATGTGATCGTTAATATTAATAAATATACATACTTGTGCACACTGATTGAAGTATGTAATGCTAACTTCGATTCTTCACCTCATTAAACCAGAGAATGTTCCGCAATAATATGTCGTACTGAAATATAATTGTAAATTGTTTCCTGGAGATAACATTAGCCAAAATTAATGAGCCTCGCAGGTGGACCATTGCTTTCAGCGTTGATTTATGTTTATAGTGGAACGTCACCTCGTCGTGTAATTGCAAGAAAGTGTCGCCGGAGCGCGTGCTATTCTTAGAGGAAAACCCTAACCAGTGTCTTTCGGTTATCGTATCTAAGATACATGAAAATAAGGCGGCACATCACTAATGCCGGATGTGAAACTCAAAATTACGAGCTGTTTGTTGAGTCACTTAGCCATTGTCATACTAAACGATCTTTTGTCGTTTTACCCAACCAAAACATTGTTGAAGATAATGATCCGGAAGCTTCCTTTTGCGCCTCTCGGTACAAATGTCCTGGAATTATCGGACAGTCTTTCCTTATGAATTTTTTAACTTATTTAAAATAAATTTGTTTAAACCGTAATTTACAAGCATTTAAACCTTTGTAATTAAGTAATTAATAGTTAAATATATAATTGAGCTTATGTAAAAAAATTAGTTGACAAAATCGTGTTTTTTACTCAACTATGAACCGAAAATTTTTTACCAAATTCTAAAGTGTTCTACTCTTTAAAAACGTTTATTGTAAAATATATCTATTTATCGTAAAATGTGATAATTTCACAAGATTGAAATAAAATGCAGGAATTTTAAGTATTTTATGAAGATAAGAAAAAAAGTAGAAAGTGCGCGACAATGTAGTATCTTAATTTTAGATTTGGATGTGTAAGGATGTTTAGAAATCAAGGTCCGACAGAGTAAGCTACGAGTCGTTAAAAGCTGACGAGATGTTGCGGTTTCGACGCGTCGCTCATTATACGTTCATTAACCATTTTACGTACGGATTCACCGACCGCAGAATGATAGGCCGAAACTGAATGTGCGGTACAGTTAATGAAACTTATTATTCGGTATTATCATTCCGGTTTATCATGACATTAAATTTCTAACATATATTATATCAATTTAAATCACTTTCCATCAACAATATCACGCCCGCGCGTAAATGCATTTTCAAGATTAACAAGTAAATAATAAGATGTATCGTTTTAATAAATAAATTGCGATACACATAACACATTATAACAATGTAAGAAATAAACTTCTTTTAAAGTTGGAATTAAAATCAAATTAAAAGAAATTATGTAAAATTGAATGCGCGTCAAAGTCTCACTATAAATGCTTCAAAGCATTTTATTGACCAATTAGAAGAAAGAATTTTATGAATTGACCAAGAAATATCAAAGAATATTTTAGAACATTTGTAACATTACGTTTACCGTATTTTAAGTCGCGTAACCAAGACTCGAAGCTATTTGGCTCCGATTTAAAGAATGTCCAGTGAAAGGAAATCATGTCTATTATAAGATCATAATCGAGGAGAACCACATCAACTTTATTGACGGCTTAATATAATGAACCGAAGCGGTTTCGTTGAATCAAATTTTTTTATTATTCCTCGTATCTTTAAATATCGATGACAAATATTAACATGATTTTAACTTTTATAAAATTGAAGACAATACTGTTGCAGTGATGCTATGTTCTATGATATATTGGACTGTTATAACCTGAAGGTATTATATAATTTTGACATTCAAAGATACATTACGAAAGCAAACACGCGATTCAGGAATAAAAATGTAACATACCAATTGCCTTTTAATCGCGGTATCATTATTTTAATATACTTAAAATAAAAATTGGCATCATAGTTGAATCAAAGCTGATTTGCATCATTGCTACATGGTTATTGAAAATTGGACATGACAATTAAACATAATAATGCAGCTCGGACACTAATTGCTTATCTGACGAGGACCAATTAATTTTCGATAAGTTTATTAAATGACAAGAGTAAAACAATGATGAGGTCTTTCTTAAGTGATTACTTTTTTTCTTAGGTGGCTATGGCAGGAAATTACATCTTATCAGTCGCCTGCATGATGCTTTCCGAAATTCATAATGATGATGTGACTATTACCATCAGTCAGGTAAATTATTTAATTGCATTTTCAATATAATTTTTTAAATTTGTTCTTTCCCCTTGTCGATGATAGAACTTTAATGACAGAATTATCAATCTGTAATTTATGAAAATTAATGAAAATTTAATACTTTCAGTATACTTGCACTGTAATTATTACAATATTATAAGTATTTTAACAAATGAAGCTTCCAATTGTAAGACATACAAGTCACATTCACACATCCATGTAAACACATACAAAATTTAATATTTAATTATATAATGAAAGATTTAATTGCCAAGATATCTCTAAAATGTCTAAAAATTATGACCTGATGTGATTATGACTTGAGATTTTATGCTATCTCTAACTAGAGACACAATTGATAAACAAAGATAACAGAAAAAAATATTAATAGGGTATATGTATCCAGAAGAATCAGAAGATACCTATTTTTAAGAATTTTTTTGCGAAAATTATTAGGTTTACTCAAAAAGCATTTATATCTAACTAAAAACTAATATCTGACGTAATTAGTGAGTGTTAAAATTTTTGGTTAAAATTAAATATAAAATTTTTAAATAAAATTTAATCCTTTTAATCAAAGCATTAAATTAAGTACTCGTTAATTTGTAGATGGTCGCTGATTTGGTGCAAGGCGAATTTATGCAGCTTGGTTCCAAAGAAACGGAAAACGAGAGATTCGCGCACTATCTCACGAAGACTTATCGAAAAACAGCAAGCTTAATTGCCAATTGCATGAAAGCGGTGAGTCTATATCAGCAATTGCGTGTACGAAGTCGTCTATTACTTCTTCATCGAGACTTGTAAATAATTACATATGGATCAATAAAAAAGTAACAACATTAAGGCTGGATAATTCCACCTTCCAGTAAACTTCAGTTCACTGTTACTCTCTTATTCTCTTATGCTCTTACTTTTTTACTCTTTTATTTATCCAATAGGTAAATTATCATATAGTTTATCTGAAGATGGAACAATCAGCCCTAAGCTTACAATAATATTTGAATATTTAGATAACCTCTATCCCTTTCAAAATAATTCTTTTTTACATATATGCAACGAGTTCATCGCATGTCTCTAACGTTCTCTGGAAGTCTTTGTCTCGAATCGTGTTAAGCATGTTTTGCTTGGATGTTTTTAATCGTAAAACGATCTTCCTTGAGCTTTAATTTTATTTTAAAAAACAAAAAGAGGTCACAAGGAATTAAATTCGACGAGAGTAGAGATCCAAGAAAGCGAAAAAAGTTAGAAGCATGAAGAAAATTATGTTGATCGTTTTCTTCGCCATCGAAGATGTAGGAACTTGTTTCTACCGATCAGACAATCAACGCAGATTTTTACTGCAACTTTTTGAGGCAGTTACGTGATATTTGTCACAAAAAACCGGAACGGGATCGATACAGGACATCTCTAAGTTGAAGTGTACAAAAGTGCTTAACATGGTTTGAGATGAAGATTTCCATAGAATGTTTGCAGGGTTGAGAAGTAACGCGTTACTTTTAACGCTGTTACCATTTTCGTTACTTTTTTCAGTAACAATTGTTACTTTTTTCTGTCTGTAACGGTAACGGTAATGTTGTTACATTTTTACAGTAACGGTAAGGAATTTAGCCGTTACTTTTATCGTTACTTTAGTTCCCTATTGTTTTCTTAGTTTATAATTTATTCTTAATTTCTTAAAAAGTATTTTATACTTAGTATCTTATGTCTTATACTATGTTCTAATAGGCACTACCAATGTTGAAAATATATAATTCACATTACATATATATACTGTAAATTTTTGGTACGGACAATAAATATTGAAATACACATAACAGTGATGGAAATAAATCGTTAAAATCGCTGAAAATCGCTGAAATCTCTATCAATTGACTCATTTCGTTATGAATTATACTGAAATGGATCTATTGATAAAGATTTCATCGATTTATTTCTACCAGGGAACATTAACGTTTAAAAACAATGTTTAATCTATTATCTGTTTAATCTAAATTCTTACAAAAATGAGTACATTAAAATAACGATATTGTCTAAGTAAAATAAAGAATTAGTAAACTGTAGGTAAGTTTAATATAGAGAAAAGCTTGCTCTGTATACAAACTAGTTAGTAGAGAATTTCAAGTTTGAATATTTATTTCACACATTTAGTATTAAATTAATTATCTGCTAATGTAATTTTAAAATCTAATAACTTATTTTAGCATTATAAAAAAAGTAACGAATCGTTACTTTTCTAGTAACGGTAATGGTAACGAATTACTTTCTAAAATTAGTAACGAGTGATAGTAACGAGTTACTTTTTTAAAAAAATAATGGTAACGGTAACGCGTTACTTTTTTGAGGTAACGCGCACACAACCTTGAATGTTTGAGACATCACAGAAATAATGGAATTGTTATGTAACTATAGAAGGGAACTTTGAAGAGAATAAAACCCAGATTTAAATTTTGTTTTAGATAATAAATATTCAAATTTTTATAGACCTCTCTCTCTCTCTCTCTCTCTCTCTCTCTCTAAGTCTAGTTTTTTCTTCGATTGATCTTTGTATTACTTTAGGTCGCCATTCTTTCTGATGTTGATGAGCGCACGATAGAGATGGCCTTCCAATACGGCAGAAATGTTGGCTTGGCATTTCAATTGGTAGACGATCTTCTGGATTTTGTAGCTTCTACAACAGCTATGGGCAAACCCACGGCCGCTGATCTTAAACTTGGACTAGCTACAGCTCCGGTGCTTTTTGCTTGCGAACGGGTTTGTATACAAAATGTTCAGTAAATCATAACATAAGAAATCTTTTCATTAGTTTACGACTGTACTAGGTAATTTATTATGTTAGACTTATCGATAGGGCTTTTCAACGTCTCTTTAATATTGTTACTTCAACTGTTGCAGTATCCAGAATTGAATGCAATGATTATGCGTCGTTTCCAAGAGCCCGGAGATGTTGAGAAAGCTTTCGAATTGGTGCATAAATCCAATGGTCTCGAACAAACAAGATTCTTGGCAAAGAAGCACTGTGTGGAAGCCAGCAAGATCGCTCAGTCCTTTATTAAGAGTCCTTATCAGAAAGCGCTGATCATTATGGCGGATCTGGTTATCAATCGCATGAAATAGCATCGTAAAGAACAAAGATTTAAACAGTGGAAGATACTTTTATAAGTATTTATAAGTTATACTGGACGGGAACGGCTATAGTACAATTCTCCTGAATTTTATAAGTCGCATGCTGAGGCCGCAATCGAAGAAAGTTTTTCGCATTCAATATTATATCACTAGTTGGAATTATATATTGTTATAAATAATTTAATATATTTGAGAATTTTTATAAAACGTAATTAAATAAGGAAATTGATCTTGTCATTATAATTCATGGTGATGTAATATTGATACATGATTGACAACGGAAGCGTATAGCCGTAAATGCGTTGTATCATCGCATTGCCGACCATGAGTTCATACCTCATCCGAAGGAAAAATGGAGAAGACATCTTAAGTCTCGTAACGTATTCGCTAAAGTATTTCTGCCAGAATACTTTATCGATATACATATGTTTAAGTTGTCTGAAAAATGCAGAAAATTTGCATTTTACAACAAAAGTGCCTAGGCATTACGTTTACTTGGCCTGTGTATGAAAGAAAATCTCACGTATTACCTGATTTTATAAATCGTTAGCCGATTATGTAAATAAAGTAACCTAGCATTAGTAACAATTAGCATCGTTAATCTTCTCTGTTATGTCTCTTTTATGCATGCATCTTTCTCATGTCGCATGATAAAATTATATTGCTGTCGGTTTCCAAAATAAAAATAATGCACAAAACAGAATTATCTTGAAAACAAATATTGTAACGGTAATTATTATATTTATCCCGTCTTGAAATTAAATATTATAATTATTGTATTGCGATAAGTCAGAAAAACTGCTTGCATTAAAGGAGCTTTAATGAGAATTTATTGTAGCATGGCAAAAACAAATTGAAAATTGAAAAAACATACATATACAATAACGGCAGACGTACAGAATTAACGTTATACAATAGGAATATATCTTCGGTCTTTATGACCATTCAAATACAATGTATACATATTTTTGATAAAGTGGAAAGTAATTTCTATCGCAGTAAAATTGTAAAAATAAATAAGGATGCCAATACTAATTTTTATTGACAGCCAAATTTAAAGTTTTACTAAAAGCGCCGCAAAGAATGTTTGTCAAAGGAGATCACAAGTGGGTCTTTTTTCTCTTTTTTGCCAAGGAATTTAGCAAAAATTAACTTTGGTTTGTCATGTAATTAATAAGAATTATTTGCCTCCTTAAGTTTCAGAATGTCATCGAAATTTACAGTACGCGGAAAAATAAAAGTTCTTTTTTATTTAGAATGTTATCCAGTAAGAAAGAATCACTTTTGCCACATTTTGCTTATTAGGTGAACTGCTCAAAATATCAATATTACTGGATATGTAAGTATAAATATCTAGTGTACAATAATTTATATTTATGATGAAAATGTATATAATTGTTTAAAATGTTACACAATCCCATAGAACATTAACTAAGAAGCAAGCATGTAATTATGATCAAACGTAGACTTATAATAGGATAAGTATATACATGATGCAAAGAAAGAGACTTGAATGTCTTGAAACGTGTATTTTCGACGTTTGTTTAAACATTGATTGTCTCAGTGTCTACACAAGTCATTAGTTTGGAAAAAATAGTGACTTTTAAGTTTAAATTCGAAAAATATTCTGCGTTAATTTATATACCTGACGAAAATTTATCACATACAAAATCTGCAACATTTTTTAAACAAATACTTCTTATATTAATTTAATTAAATTTTTACTGATTGCTTTTGACAGAATATTATTTTTTGAAGATATTTATTAATCTGTTTTTACTCCTGACTACTGCTAATAAAAATTAGCATAACAAAAAGAATATGTGTCTTATTTGGACCGAATCGATTGTTGTTCTCTTATTTTCTTGAATCTATTATTATTACATTAGAGAATCAGTACATTTTTTCCAATATTTTTTGTAACGAAAAATAATGAAACGATAAACAGAATTCCCTGATTTAAATACATATTGAAAAATAATGTACTATTAAGATCTTTAGATTTTCAAATAATGTTCATAGCAGGAATATGGTACAATACTATAATTCTTCCATTGTAATTATATTGTTGGTTCATTAACTACTTTATCATAAAACCTTAAGCTAAATATAAGTTCAATTATTGTGTTGGGATCATTAAATTCGAAAGAGTATATAAGTTTTTTTAATATCTATGTGAAATTATAAAATATATCTTTTTGAACATATATATAAGGTTGTTTTAAAATTTAATATATTTTCCCGTTTCATGAATATTCTACGATCATTATATTCAATATTTTTGGCGAGAAAAAGTGAACTTTTTAAAGTTTTATATATGATAATATTTTGTATATAAAAATATAAAGGTAATGTCATCCAAAAATTAATTTTACAAAATTTTAGATTTTACACTTATTCCCGTATTTTGATACAAGAAGTGAAATATCTCATACATATAAAATATTAATTTTCCGATGACTTTATCTTAACACTGTTAGGCACAAAACAGAAAAATTACTGTAAAGTCGATCTAATTACACATTAAATAATAATATTTATTGATTATTAGTATTATTAAGATATATGTACTAATGACCTTAAATACACGATGCTATATGTATTTTTATATCGGACATCGAAAACGTTCTCAGTTTTCGATTACCTCTCGAAACGATAAGATCATAGTTGTATATTTTCGATATTAACAATTTATCAAGTGTTGTGTTAAGCACAGCTAATTATTACGAAATCATCTTAGGCGCACACAAGGTGAGTCGCCAAAAATATAACATATATGTTAGAACCATCTGTGTAATCACTAGGATACATAATTTATAATCAAACAGATTACTTTTTCATTAAAATTTATTTTTTAAACAATTACCAACAAGATTTACTTTTTATTTTTATATTTCTTCCGATTACTGTAATAGCTTATATATTTTTGTTTCTCTTTTTTATATAGAACTTTGAAAAGAGTTTTGCTTTTATATTATACTTTTTTAATGTTTCTACGGGCATCTCAAACGAAAATTGGCATAAAGTCTTTAAAGTTGTTACTAATTGGTGGTCTAGTAATTAATTTCGCTAAGACGGATTACAAAAGCTAATGTAGTTTATTCTGTATCTGTTTTCATTCCAAAATATTCTCTTTGAGAAAAATATTACTTTCTACATTGAAAAAAAAATTGGCTACTGCAGCAAATTAGATGGTAAAATATGCTATAGCATTTTTAATTGGCTGTAGCAGCCGATTTTTTGTTGCCGCAGCCAATTTGGTTGCATTAGCCTATCCGCAATGTCAGTATAGGATTTCGATAGGTTAATACAATCAAAAATTGGCTGCTGCAATCAATCAAAAATGGAATGCCATATTATACCACCTAATTTGCTGCAGCAGCCAATCCTTTTTTTCAGTGTAGTAATATTTTCCTCAGTAATATAACATAATATATGTTACATGTACTGTATGTTACACGAGTAAACGTTTCTTTCTAAAGGACGTTTTAAAATGTAGCTTAAATTATGATCATGGACGTAGTGTTGTAAATAAATTTTCTCTGTCTCACAGATTTTGTTATTAGTAGCGGGATTCTCTAAACGTCTTATCGAAGATTATCGCTATCGTTAACTAGCGACAGCCAATGACAGGATAATCCTGGAG